GGCAATCTCTGGAGATATAAAAGAAGTGAGCAGTGAGACAGGGGGACCTCATACCATCAAGAAAGCAGTGCCGGGAGCAGAGCACGTCCTTTGGACTGGGGTCCCTGCGCAGAGAAGCTCCTAGTCCGGGGAAACACTGATGAGAAGGCCGACAGAGAGAAAAAGCCTTCCCCTGGAGCTGACACCCTGAATTTGGACTTGAAGCCTACTTTGAATGTGAGGAAATAAATTTCTTTTCATTAAAACCACCCACTTGTGGTATTTCTGTTATGGCAGCACTAGATGACTAAGAATTTGGTACCGAGAGAGTGGGGTGCTCCTCTAACAGATACCTAAAATGTGGAAGCGGTTTTAAAACTGTGAATGGATAGATGTGCGGCAGTGACAGAGGACCAGCAGCAGCAGAGAACCTGCAGCAGCAGAGAACCTACAGCAGCAGAGAAGCGGCAGCAGCAGAGAACCAACAGCAACAGAACCAGGAGACCAGTGCGAGACAGCACTGGAGCCGACCCACAGAGCGAGAGAGCTGAGTGCCTGTGCACGGCAGGCTTCCAGGCTGAGTGGGGTGCTTCCTGGCACTTATCAGTGGAGCTAGGCTTGCCGACCCACGGAGCAAGGGAGCTGAGTGCCTGTGTGCAGGAGGCTTCCTGGCAGAGTGGGGTGCCTCCGGGCACTTACCGGTGGAGCTACAGAGCTTTGGAACACTTGCCCCAGCAGGGCAGATACGGGCAAGAGGCCCGAGGGCCAAGAGGCCATAGGAAACAGAAGCAGAAGCTGAAGAGACAAGGGACACAAGAAACTGAGCTGCCTGGGTCTCAAAAGGTATGGCCATGACCTCAGGGGTTTCAAAGGGTGGAGCCATAGCCTCTGGTGTTTCTAAGGGTGGAGTTGTCACTCTGACTGAGTAGGAGAATGGTGCCCCTAAAGCCAAGGGAGCAGAGTTGCTGTCTTAGTGGGCCTGGAAGGCGGAGCTGAAGCCCAGGGCCGAGAGGCCTCCACTCAAAATCCAGAGACTGTGGCCAATACCTAGAGTCTAGAGGGCAGGGCTATTGTGTAAATTCTTTCAGAGAACAGAGGATTATTTTCAAAGCCTTGAGGGCTAATGTAATGTGTTCTGCTGACTTGCTTGGTGCCTGTTATCACTTCTTTTCCTCTAGTTTCTCCTATTTGTAATGGAAATGTCTTGCTTGTGCCTGTTCTGTCACTGTACCTTTGGAAGCAAATAACTTGCATTCTAGATTTCACAGATGAAGAGGAATTTTTGGATTTTGGACTTGGAGTTAAGACTTTTGCTATGATATGATGGAGTGAGTATGTTTTCCATGTTGCAAGGATGAGATTTTTTGGGGGCCAAACGGTGGAATGTCATGGTTTGAATTATGTCCCCCAAAAAATGTGTATATCAGTTTGGCTGGGCCATGATTCCTGGTACTGTGTGATTTTCCTATAATTTGTAAATCCTGCCTCTATGATGTTAATGAGGGAGGATGGGCGGCAGTTGTGTTAGTAAGGCAGGACTCAGTCTACAAGATTGGATTGTATCCTGAGGCAATGTCTTGAGATATAAAAGACAGAAGTGAGCAGTGAGATAGGGGGACCTCATACCATCAAGAAAGCAGTGCCAGGAGCAGAGCACGTCCTTTGGACTGGGGTCCCTGCGCAGAGAAGCTCCTAGTCCGGGGAAACACTGATGAGAAGGCTGACAGAGAGAGAAAGACTTCCCCTGGGGCTGACACCCTGAATTTGGACTTTTAGCCTATTTTGACTGTGAGGAAATAAACCTCTCTTCGTTAAAACCATCCACTTGTGGTATTTCTGTTACAGCAGCACTAGATGACTAAGATAGAATTTGGTACCAGGAGTGGGGTGCTGCTCTAACAGATACCTAAATGTGGAGTCGGTTTTAAAACTGTGAATGGATAGACGTACTGTAGTGACAGAGGCCCAGCAGCAGCAGAGAAGCAGCAGCAGCGGAGAAGCGGCAGCAGCAGAGAACCAACAGCAGCAGAACCAGGAGACCGGTGAAAGACGGCGCTGGAGCCAACCCACGAAGCAAGAGAGCTGAGTGCCTGTGTGTAGGAGGCTTCCTGGTGGCATGGGGTGCCTCCAGGCACTTATCGGTGGATCTAGGCTTGCTGACCCACAGAGCGAGAGAGCTGAGTGTCTGTGTGCACGAGGCTTTCTGGCGGAGGAGGGTGCCTCCGGGCACTTATACCGGTGGAGCTACAGAGCTTTGGAACACTTGCCCCAGCAGGGCAGATGCGGGCGTGAGGCCTGAGGGCCGAGAGGCCATAAGAAGCAGAAGCTGAAGAGACAAGGGACACAAGAAGCCGAGCTGCCTCAGTCTCAAAAGGTATGGCCACGACCTCAGGGGTTTCAAAGGGTGGAGCCATGGCCTCTGGTGTTTCTAAGGGTGGAGTTGTCACTCCAATGGACTAGAAGAATGGTGCTCCTAAAGCCAAGGGAGCAGAGTTCCTGTCCCAGTGGGCCTGGAAGGCGGAGCTGAAGCCCAGGGCCAAGGGGCCTCCACTCAGAATCCAGAGACTGTGGCTAATACCTAGAGTCTAGAGGGCAGGGCTATTGTGTAAATTGTCTCAGAGAACAGAGGATTATTTTCAAAGCCTTGAGGGCTAATGTAATGTGTTCTATTGACTTGTTGGTGCCTGTTATCCCTTCTTTCCCTGCAATTTCTCCCATTTGTAATGGAAATGTCTAGCTTGTGCCTGTTCTGTCACTGTACCTTTGGAAGCAGATAACATATTCTAGATTTCACAGATGAAGAGGAATTTCTGGATTTTGGACTTGGAGTTAAGACTTTTGCTATGATATGATGGGGTGAATATGTTTTCCGTGTTGCAAGGATGTGATTTTCTGGGGGCCAAAGGGTGGAATGTCATGGTTTGAATTATCTCCCCCTAAAAATGTGTGTATCAATTTGGCTAGGCTATGATTCCTGGTACTGTGTGATTTTCCTGTATGTTGTAAACCTGCCTCTATGATGTTAATGAGCGAGGATGGGTGGTAGTTGTGTTAGTAAGGCAGGATCTGATCTACAAGACTGGATTGTATCCTGAGGCAATCTCTTGAGATATAAAAGACAGAAGTGAGCAGTGAGACAGGGGGACCTCATACCATCAAGAAAGCAGTGCCAGGAGCAGAGCACGTCCTTTGGACCGGGGTCCCTGCGCAGAGAAGCTCCTAGTCTGGGGGAACACTGATGAGAAGGCCGAGAGAGAGAAAGCCTTCCCCTGGAGCTGACGCTGTGAATTTGGACTTCTAGCCTACTAGACTGTGAGAAAATAAATTTCTCTTCGTTAAACCATCTGTGGTATTTCTGTTATGGCAGCACTAGATGACTAGACAGTCCATCTCACCTCAGGCTGTAAATTCCTCAAGGGCACAATGTCGAATATACACTACAGCATTTGAAACTCTGTATACATTTAAAAAAACAAAACAAAACGACTCATTACTATTGAGTCGATTCCAACTCATGGTGACCCTATAGGACACAGTAGAACTGTCTCATGGGATTTCCAGGGCTGTAAATCTTTAGGAAAGCAGAATGCCACATGTTTCTCCAGCAGAGGGGCCGGCGAGTTCAAACCGCCACTTTTCAGTTAGCAGCCGAGCGCTTTAACCACTGTGCCATGAGGGCTACTTTGCATATAATTGTTGCTGTTAGGTGCCGTGCAGTCGGTTCTGACTCACAGCGCCCCTATATACAACAGAATAAAACACTGCCCAGTCCTGCGCCATCCTCATATAACAGGCCTCAATAATTACTTGATAAAATATTTGTCCTTTCACAATACCAAAAGAATATTATCAGGACATTGGTTTAACTTTTTACCCAATGCAGGCATCATTTCTACAACATTCTCGAGTGGACCATCATTCAAGAACATCTTGAACATCTCCAGTGATGGCAAGCTTATTACCTCACGAGGCAGTCCAGTCGATCTTAGGACAGCTCTACTTGTTTGAAAAGTCTTCCTACTAAACCAAACCTCTCTCCATGCAATTTCCACCCACTGCCTTTGGAGTTATGTCAAGTAAGTCTAATCTCTCTTACAGATACAGTTCTTCACATTTTAAAAGATAGTTGTATAACTCCCTCAGTCTTCATTTATGTAGGACAAATGTTTCCTTTTCTTTCGGTGATTTTCAATATGGTATGTTTTTTTTTTCATCCTCTTCATTCTAGTTTTGAAATCCTTTTTTCAATTTCCATCTTAAAATATCATACTCAGAACTTAACACAGTCCCTCCACTATTTCTTCTGACTGACATAGTGTCGGCAGAGCATGTATCTTTCTTATTTTATCTAGACGCAGCACTGTTATTCATACAAGCATAATGAACTGTTCTGACAGAAAGTTTCCAATTAACTAAAATCTCCAGTATTTTTCATAGGCACTGCTGTGAACCTGGAATCCCCTTTTTGTAGATGCTAAGGTGTTTTCTAAAAATTGAAGTATTTTATATCTGTTGCTGGGTGATGCTAAGTCGATTCCAACTCATAGTGACCCCATAAGACAGAGTAGCACTGCCCCATTGGGTTTTCTTGGCTGTAATATTTACAGAAGCAGATTGCCAGGTCTTTCTCCCACGGAGCCACTGAGTAGGTTTGAACTGCCAACCTTTTGGTTAGCAGCCCAGCACTTAACCATTGCACTACCAGGGCTCCTTACTTTACTTTTACTTCTGTTAAATGTTTTTGTTACTTTGAGTATATTGTTCCATGCTATTTTAGTCTTTTGAATTTCCACTCTGTACTTCAACATACTGAAGATCATTTCAAACTCTGTGCCACCTACATATTTGATAAGTATACCTTCTATGACAACATCCATATCACTGATAAATATTTGTATAAACATATCAAACATTAAGTCCCACAGAATAACATTAGAGACATTTTTCTCTGATTGATACTGATATTATGTCTGGTTAACAGTTATCTGTAACTCCTTAACAGCCTCTTCTTATCTGCAATAATATCATAAAAGACATTAAGTTTATAAAATCATGACGTTCTATAGAAATAAAGTGATTTATTAGTAAAGATTTACTTTTATTCACTTCATTACATATAAAGTATGTACATCAACTTGCCACTGGATAACTATAACACAGGAAGTGATGTCAATATTATCAGTGTCCCCAAAATAAGACTCTTTATATGTTTAACATATATTACTTAAGTTTGTAAAAATATTACTTAAATTTTGTTCTAAAACCTCTATACAGCTTTGTACAGGAATGCTAAGAATTAAAAATTAGTATATCAAGAATATGGTTTCATATGTATATAATGAATAAGAAAATAAAGTTATGTCAAATAATGTGTTAATCAATGCTGAGGCTTTGGGAATTTTAAGATAAATTCAACACTACATTGTTCAAAGCTCAGATGGAATCTGCCCTATCACTATACTGTTTGTAACTGAATTAAGCATATTTAGCAAAATTAGTGTATTTTTAACATCACATAGACCAAATTATCTGGGAACAGTATCTTCAGTAGTATTAGGGCATATTCAGAGTCTAAACATTAAATCTAAAAGTTGAAGGTGTGGTCAAAAGCACCCTATATCAAGAAAAATCTATCATCTGATGATATTATGATAATGAAGAAATTATTTCTGGACAATTTTACCTCTATCACTGCTTTCTGCTACCACCACTAAATGGGACTCATAGATGCTCAATATTATGCAATGTAATTTACAAATTATTTTACATTATTTTTTCCTATTTCAATGATTTTTCTGAAGAATTTTTTATTGATTTTTCCTAATTTTAAATCTCTTTTCAGAAAACCAGGAGAAAACTGGGCAACAGACATAGCTATGTGAAGCCACTGGGGGAAAATATCAACTTCTCTATGCTTAACACAATCATTTTTGCTTCTTAAAAGGAAAGCAAAGATGAAAGACCGACTTCAAGAACTAAAGCAGCGAACAAAGGAAATCGAACTCTCTAGAGACAGGCCTGGGCCGATCACAGAGGCAGAGGAACAGGGGGAGTTTCTGCAGCAAGCTGTTATTTATGAAAGAGAGCCTGTAGCTGAGAGGCAGCTACATGAGATCCAAAAATTACAGGAGAATATTAAAAATCTAAAGGTTGATGTTCAAAAATTTGGGCAGCAACAGAAAAGTCTGGTGGCTTCAATGAGACGGTTTAGTCTACTTAAGAGAGAATCAAGCATTACAAAGGAGATAAAAATCCAAGCAGAACACATTAAGAGAGATTTGGATGATTTAATAAAAGAAGTTAAAAAGTCAGAGGATGAAAATGGTCCATCATCAGTGGTCACAAGGATACTTAAATCACAGCATGCTGCCATGTTCCGCCATTTTCAGCAAATTATGTTTATATACAATGATACAATAGCAGCAAAGCAAGAGAAGTGTAAGACATTTATTTTCCGTCAGCTTGAAGTTGCTGGCAAAGAAGTGTCTGAAGAAGAAGTAAATGATATGCTTCATCAAGGAAAATGGGAGGTTTTCAATGAAAGCTTACTTACAGAAATCAGTATCACTAAAGCACAACTCTCAGAGATTGAACAGAGACACAAGCAACTTGTCAATTTGGAGAACCAAATAAAGGATTTAAGGGACCTCTTCATTCAGATATCTCTTTTAGTAGAGGAGCAAGGAGAAAGCATCAACAATATTGAAATGACAGTGAATAGTACAAAAGAATATGTTAACACTACTAAAGAGAAATTTGGACTAGCTGTAAAATACAAGAAAAGAAATCCTTGCAGAGTATTGTGCTGTTGGTGCTGTCCAAGCTGTAGCTCTAAATAAAGAAGCTACTATAGAAATTTTTCCAGCTTTAGGGTGAGGATGTCCCATATTTCAGTGTCTTGTACTGTTTTAATTCATTTCATGTAGCCATTCAAATACCTCTAATCACTATTAAGTCATAATTTCCTCCTTTTAGCTCTTATTCACTAGAATTACAGAAACTTTTTGAAGCCAATGACATAAAACAAGTCTTTGAAAATCTACTGAATTCTACAAAAATGTAAAAACAGAGATATGGTTTAAATGAATGTCAAACATTGTGTTTTCTAGTCTCTTCTAAATTTAGATAATCAAAATACTCATTTAATTAAACTGGAAACAGTACGATTACCTTTAAACGTTGTAAGAATGGCATGGCGGAGGCATCTGACTTCCTCTAACTTCACAAAGCGGAACGAGAATCAAGATCAACAGCGAAGACTGATTCCTATGAGGCGGAGGTCAGACATGCCTCCTCTCTCTGCCATCTTTACCAGTTCTGACACCAACCGTCCCTCCCACGGTGTACTCTACTTCTCTGCTGAGTTCAGTAATTCATTGCAATGGCCACACAGAACTCACAGATAATACTCATGATTATGGGGTTTATTAGGGAAGTAATAGTTTACATTTCAGGTTCAGGAACACTCAGGATACGGTTCTTCCATCAGGACACCCTCTTCTCAGCTGTGCCTGCAGGCATGCCTCTTTTTGGCTCCTCAGCCTCTACCCTGCTTGGGCAAGTGTTACAAAGCTCTTTTAGCTCTGCCAGTAAGTGCCCAGAGGCACTCTACTCTGCCAGTAAGCCTCAGCCTGAAGGTGCTCAGCTCCATCTCCATCTCCATGGGTCAGCAAACCTAGTTCTACAAAGTGCCCAGAGGCACCTAACTTTGCCAGCAAGCTTCCTGCCCAAAGGCGCTCAGTTTTCTCACTCCATGGGTCAGGAAGCCCACTGTATCATCACCTGCTGGTCTCTGCTGGCACCATTTCTCTGCCATGACTTCTTGCCATCTTCAGTGTTATAGCTCTCTGTCTCCAGGTTCCAGGAACTTCTCAGCCCAGGGATCCCGGGTCCAAAGACCGTGCTCTACTCGTGGATCTTCTTAGTGGTGGTGAGATCCTCTCCTCTTGCCTCTGCGATGGCTCATTTTAACCCTAGCAGGATGGCAAAGATGACCAATCCCTTTGTTAGGGTTCCACAGACCCTGTTTGCATGGTTCTACCCTCATGGAGGTGCCATGAACTGTATTTGCATTATTAGCAAGTTATAGTCCCACGCAATCATCTGCCTGAGTTACAAGATGATAGCAAAAAAGCCATATAAAAGCAACACATCGCACTGCAAATATGCAGGTTAACTACTGAAAATGAAATGAATAATCTTAAGTTTCTGATCAGGTATCAAGCCGATTATTCATTTACGTGACTTCCAATGTTTAACAAGATGAATGATTAATCATGTAAGCAATCTTCTTGGCTCATTTGAGAATATTTTGGTACTTAAGAGTTATACAACACAAGACCTCAAAAGTGCTACACTAAAACAAAATCAAACTAGAACCAGTATCAAATCTTTTTATGTTCAGACAGGTAGGCTAACTCAGTGGTGAACAAATCCTAGGAAAACATAATTATGCAACTAAGAAACTGTCTAGTTGGTAACTGGGAGCAGAATCTAGTTTAAGGCAAAAGATGGGAGGTTAAGGCACTGTTTTCTTGAAACTGGGTCTGCTCAGGACAATGAATTCCAAATTAGGAGGATTGGCAGATAAAGTTAAAGTACAGGCAATTGTATTCTTGAAGGTTTCTCCATCACTTTATTGTAAAATCAGGCACTGCACTATGGGCTAGAGATGTAATTTGAACACACACAGGGACAGAGTTTTGAAACTCAAATTCTAGTCGAGAAAGCAGATAACAAAACAAATACAAGTATGCAATAATAAAAGTTCTGTGCAGAGACTTAAAATAGGGTGATGAGATAGAAACTGTCAGGGTGGCTTCTTTAAGTTGGGTTGTCAATGAAGGACTCTCTGGAAGATAATATTTAAGTGAAGATCTGAATGATGAGGACATATTCCATTGTATATTCCAGGTACTGGAAACAAATAGCACAAAGACACTAAGGAGGGTATTAGCTTACTTCGTTCAAATAGAGATAACTAGTACAGCTGGGACATAGTGTGGGGAAAAGGAGTGTAGTAAGTTACAGAAAGAAGCCTAAGGTTGATAGGATGTGAAATTAGTGCACGGCCGTCAGACTGCTTTAGGCCTGGGAGTAATGTTACATAATTTATATTTAAGAAACATCATTGTCTACTGTATGCAAAGTGGATTAGAATGGATTTGGGGGAGCTAAGTGCAGGACAAGCAAGTAGGAATGGAAAACAATTAGATGGTGTTATGGATTGAATTGTGTTCCCCCCCAAAAATGTGTCAACTTGGCTAGGTCAGGATTCCCAGTATTGTGTGACTATCCACCATTTTGTCATCTGATGTGATTTTCCTATGCACTGCAAATCCTACCTCTGTGATGCGGGATTAGCAGCAGTTATGTTAATGAGGCAGGACTCAATCTACAAGATTATGTTTTTTTAAGTCAATCTCTTCTGCGATATAAAAGACAGAAGCAAGCAGAGAAACAGGGGGACTTCAAACCACCAAGAAACAAGAGTCAGGAGAAGAGTATGTCCTTTGGACCTGCGGTCCCTGTGCTGAGAAGCTCCTAGATGGGAGAAGATTGATGACAAAGACCTTCTCCCAGAGCCAACAGAGACAGAAAGCTTCCCCTGGAGCTGGCACCGTGAATTTGGACTTCTAGCCTTTTAAACTGTGAGAGAATAAATTTCTCTTTGTTGATGTCATCCACTTGTGGTATTTCTATTATAGCAGCACTAGATAAGTAAGACAGATGACTACTGCAGTAGTTTCCAAAACAGATAATGGAGGCTTGTGCTAGAATGGTGGTGGTGGTGGCAGCAGAAGCAGTACTAATACTCACCATTAATATACTACTTGCTATGTCCTAGTCATTTTTCTAGTAATTTTACAGTAGGTGAAGGTTGAGGTATATACTATTATTTCAATTTTACTAATAAGAACCCTGACACACAGTGAGGTTAAGTAACTTGCCCCAAGTCACAGAAAATGCACACAAAGAATCAGGATTTGAACCCAGAGAGTCTGATTCCCCACCACTTGTCTGTCATTTGGAAGGCACTAAGGAAGTTGGAAGGCAAGCAAAATAAAACTGGGGAAAAGCTGCCTCCTCCAAGTAGACTGGACCATAATGACATGGATAGAATACAGCTTTGAAGACCTTCATTTGCTGATGTGGCACAACTCAAAATGAGAAGAAACAGCTGAGAATATCCATTAGTAATTGGAACATGGAATGTATGAAGTATGAATCCAGAAAAATCAGAAGTTGTTAAAAATGAAATGGAATGCTTGAAGATTGATATTTTAGGCATTAGTGAGCTGAAACGAACTGGTATTGACCATTTTGAATCACACAATCATATGGTCTACTACACCATGAATGACAAATTGAAGAGGAATGATGTTGCATTCACTATCAAAAAGAACATTTCAAGATCTATCCTGAAGTACAATGCTGTCAGTGACAGGATAACATCCATATGCCTATGAGGAAGACCAGTTAATATGGCTATTATTCAAATTTATGCACCAACCACTAAAGCCAAAAATGAAGAAATTGAACATTTTTATCAACTTCTGTAGTCTGAAACTGATCAAACATGCAATCAAGATGCACTGATAACTACTGGTGATTGGAATGTGAAAGTTGGAAACAGAAGAAAGACTGGTAATTGAAAATATAGCCCTGGTGATAGAAAATGCCGAAGATCGCATGACAGAATGTCAGAACACCGATTACATATTCATTGCAAATACCTTTTTTCAACAGTCTAAATGGTGATTCTACACATGGACCTCGCTGGGTGGAATACACAGGAATCAAATTGACTACATCTGTTGAAATCGAGATGACGGAGAAATTAATATCATGAATTAGGATGTAGGGAAAGAATACTGAATGTACCAACAGACTGCCTGAAGAATGAACAAATTTGTCTTGGAAGAAGTACAGCCAGAATGCTCCTTAGAAATGAGGATGGAGAGACTTCATCTTGTGTACCTTGGACATGTTATCAGGAAGGATCAGTCCTGGAGAAGGACATCATGCTTGGTAAAGTCAAATGAAAAAGAGGAAGACCCTGAAGGAGACAGACTGATATACTGGCTGCAACAATGGGTTCAAACATAGCAAAGATTGTAAGGATGGCGCAGGACCGGGCAGTGTTTCATTGTGTTTGTTGTACATAGGGTCTCTATGAGTCGGAACTTACTCAACGATAACTAACAACAACAAAAGTCTGATTCCAAAGCCAGATCTTAACTACTCTGTACTATATAATGGTGATGGAAAAAGTTAGCCCAAATTGTGATGTATTTAAGAGGCAGAATCTACAAGATAGTGGTTGGATAGTAATGCTATTTACTGAAATGGGAAAAAGCAGACAATGAAGATTTCAGAATTGGGGTAAGGAAGAATTTAAGAATTCTCTTTTGGTCAAGAGAATCTGAGATGAGTATAGAATGTCCAAGCAGAGGTTTCCAGAATGTTAACATACCAGGAGGAACTTTCAGGAGATGTCAGGGCTAGAAGTTTATATTTCAGTTATTTGAGTAAATAAAGAGTATTTGAGGTCAGGTGACTTCAGGACAAATTCATCTGAAAAGAATAGATTTTTTTTTTTTTTAAAAAAAAAAAAAGGAAGCCCAGAAAATAGCATGGGGTATTTCAAAATTTAGACTTAAAACCAAAGAGTTTGAGAAGTTAAAGAGTTAATTAAAGAAGGCTGAGAAGGAGCCATCAATTAGAGAAGAGGAAAATCAACAAAGTGTGCTGTGATGAAAATGAAGAGTTTAACGGAGGAAACAGTCAACTTTAAGTAAAATAAGAATAGTAAAGTGATGAAAGTAACACAGATGTTACAAGAACAGTATCAAGGAACAGTAATTGTAGAGAAAAGTATGTGATATGAAGAAGTGCAACAACCACTACAGACAATTCTTCCCAGAAGGTTGAAAAGGGGACTAGGAAAGAGTCATTAGCTAAAGAAGGATATGGTG